AATTTTTATCATTCTGGAAACTAAAATGTAATGCCCACGTATTCTTCTCAAGGCACAAATGACTATGTATCTCTATGTCTTCTTCTAAAATATGATTTAAGAATAACTGTTCTAAGCAATGGTATAAACAAAACAAAATACAGTGTTGTGGGGATGGAAGGTTGGGCCACCCTTTGCCACTTTCAGTCAGAGGCGACTTAACAGTTCATTAGAATCTCTGTTTTCTCAAAAGGTGAACAGGATTACCAAACTTTAAATTTGGTACAAAGTTCCACCAGAAAGAACACGTTAGCCATCCGCCTTGTGGTCAAGCAGGGTCTTAGCCAATTAGATTTACACCCTAAAACTGACTATGTCAAGAGGCCTCATGAGAGCAGGGACCCACTCTCAGTAAAATGGATTCCACTGAAATTGTAGTGATCATTAAACTTTATCACTCTGTTTAGCCTGGAATTTCCAACTTAATTTTAATCCCAATTAAATTTAATCCTAATTAAATTTATGACAGTATAAAACTTGAAAATAGAATACCCTGAGATAAAAGTATTCTTGTGTCTGAATATATCAAAGTTGATTGAGTAGATCATTTTCTTTTGAGAATAAAAAATATAAAAATGTGCCTGGTTCTGTTTATCCAATGGGATGAAAAGCACAAATCTTCAGCAGTCTCCTTGAATCAAGCTTCTAAAAAAGCTTTTTAAAAAACAGACATCATTTGGAAACATTGTTAAAATGCAAAATCAAAGCATAGTCTTTGAGCTCAAAAGCCCCAGTATTTTTCTGTGACAGAAAGTTTACTAAGAAAGTTAGTAGAAAAATAGCTGGGCATGGTGGCTCACGCCTATAATCCCAGCATTTTGAGAGGTCTAGGCGGGTGGATCACCTGAAGTCAGGAATTCAAGACCGGCCTGACCAACATGATGAAATCTGTCTGTACTAAAAAAAAAAAAAAAAAAAAAAAAAAACCACAAAAAATTAGCTGGATGTGCTGGCCCATGCATGCCTGTAACCCCAGCTCCTCGGGAGGCTGAGGCAGGAAAATTCCTTGAATCTGGGAGGCGGAGGTTGCAGTGAGCCGAGATCACACCGCCGCACTCCAACCTGGCTGACAGAGTGAGATACTGTCTTAAAAAAAAAAAAAAAGTGACCTAGGTGTATTTTACAGAATTGGTAAATTCCTCCCACAAGAAGCAAGATGATTTGACACATCTTTGTACACTATCTTTTTTACACTTGATTTGGGAAAAGCAACACTTCCAGAAAACATACCTTGGTTCCACTGTCAAGTGTCCAAGGTCTGGGCTCTGTGGGCATCGGGGCTTATGGAGATAGCAGGGTATGTTTTCTTGTTTAAAAAAAAAAAATCTCAACACATGATGATGACAGTCTTAAGCTTGTCTGGGAGCTTTTGCCAGTCTCGAGTGAGTGGTCACCCTGGAATTTGGGCAATCTCATTCGTGTTGCAGAACGTAAGTGATCACTTCAAGATCATTCCCTGTAATGCTTTACAGTGCATTGCTTATACATCTCACAGCACATCCCTAGACAGACCTCAAATTTGGGCAAATATCCATGTTAGTCCATTTTATTATCTATCTCTGGATAACAATGACAACTGTGAAAAGCAGTATTCTAAGTAATGACTATAGTGTGCAACAGATTTGGAAATAAATGCTCAGCCATAATGCTTTTCTGGTTGAAACACATTTTCACTGACTCATGAAACAAATCTGAGATCCTAAGTACTAATAATACATGATTAAAAGAAACTGTAGTTCTCACTTCTAAGGCCATCTCCCCTCCCAATCCTCTAGCTGATTTTCCAGAATATACAGAAACACTGCGGTGGATTTCCCCAGGCTGGGATCTTGAAAACTCACTTATTTTATGCTTCAGTCTACTAACAGATACTTATTTAGCACTTGCGAATTCCTGTCAGGATTGTGCTAAATCAGCCCAAAGGGTGATGGTCTGTGTGTCAAAGAAGGAAAAAATCACATATGAAACCAAGCAATTCTGTGTCATACACTGTGGTAAAACTGCTAAGTCTATGTAAATTATTCCTCGCAACAATCCTGCAAGGCAAGAACTACTATTCTTATTTCATGGATGATGGTCTGAGACTCAGCTTCCTCAGCCAGTAAGTGGGAGAACTAGTTCTTGTGTTTGAACTTGCTTTGACTTCTATACTACTGTACTTAAGAGCGATGAAAAACAGAATCTCTTCACCTTTTTTTGTTGTTGTTCTGATTTGTTTAGGATCCTGGCCTCTTTTAATTTCTTCCATATTTTTTTCCTTCTCCTTCAATTTCAGTTTTCAACCAAGTTCAAAAGATTCTGGCAAAAATTAAAGGCAACATTAGAACGTTTCCATAAATTTTAAGTTGGGCAAAAAGTGATGAAACTAAGAAGAGCTGGAAAAATGACTACTAAGCATCTCCTCTTAAACTTTTAACTTTTCTCAAAATCAGTGACCATTTTGCTTTTTAAAAATTGATTTTAAAGTGCATTCCTTTTCCAGAGGTTCTGTGTTACACATACTATTCTAGATTTAATTTGTTAGAAGTTTAATGTTTACTGTTAAATGTGTGAAGGCTTATTAGCATGTTAATAAATAACATGTAATGTCTGTTAACAATATTTTGTATTTGCCCATAAAGTGAAAGAGAAAATATTACCTACAAGAGATTCCATGCCTTTACTACATTCTGGTTGTAATTGAAATCCCTAGTTCTCATTTCACTGTGAGAAAAGAACTAATAAATTGTTCACGAATAAAACAGGGGTTGAAGCACAGAGGCCTTATGTGGGCTCAGTGATGAATCTGAACTGCTGCAATCCAGATCAAAAAGAACTAGGGGACCAGCACAGTAGAGGTGTCCTTTAGCTGCACAATATTATAGCTAATTAAGTTTAGGTCTTTGCTTTTCTCAATCCTTTCTTTTGCTGTTTCCCCAGTGGTACTGACTGCACGTTTTTCAGCTGCCCTGATGTCAGACCCAGAAGAAGTAAAGAGTTGCAACTTACTTAGAAAAGGCATATGGCAGCAATGTAATATCCCCCAAAATGTATACAAATAATGATTTTTTTATTTGGGCATTACATTTTATTGATACAGTATGTTTTATTACACCGTTACCTAATGTCTGTTAAAAATGAGGTTCTAGAAGTCTGTTTTGGCATATTTTAAGGAAGAGCTCCAGAGCCGACTGCATCCCCTAACCTTTACGATGCAAAACCACAAAGTTACCGGATGCTAATTAAAAAAAAGAGTTTATTGTCTATTTGCTCATAAAACTGCACTATATGCATATGGTATTTCCATTAGCTCCATTTTGCTGAGCTGTTAAGGAGAAAAAATACACACACACACACACACACACACTCACTCACTCACTCTCTCTCTCTCTCTCTCACGGTTTTTAATTTGTTTTTAAGGTTAGTATAGACTGTTTTGAGTCAGTTGGAGCTGGATTACAGACCAGGCCCCCACCCCGCCCCCCACATTTAATCACAGTGTGGACTTTCAACACACATAATGTGTTTGAAGTCTATTTTCCTGACTTTAAATGAGTGAAATTGTTGATATCCTCCTACCAGAAGGTTTTGTGAATGTTAAAAATAAGAACATATAGGCCAGGCGCAGTGGTTCATGCCTGTAATCCCAGCATTTTGGGAGGCCGAGGTGGGTAGATGGCAAGGTCAGGAGATTGAGATCATCCTGGCCAACATGGTGAAACCCCATCTCTACTAAAATTCAAAAATTAGCCAGGTGTGGTGGCACATGCCTGTAGTCCCAGCTACTTAGGAGGCTGAGGCAGGGGAATCGCTTGAACCTGGGAGGTGGAGGTTGCAGTGAGCCGTGATCACACCTCTGGAGACAGAGCAAGACTCTGTCTCAGAATAAATAAATGAATAAATAATAATAAGAAGAACACATGTTAAAAGTACCCAAGGCAATTCTGGCAATTAAACTTTCAGTAAATAGTTTTGATTTATATGGTACTAGTAATATAAAGGGATCTTTTCATTAATAGCCACATCACATACCAGTGTCCCTTTTGTTCTGGAAATTAAGGAAATCCATTCCTGTCCCAAGGCCTTTGCATCTGCCTCTCTCTGTAATACTTTAGCTCTTTCAATGGCTGGCTCATTTTCATCTCTTAGGTTTCAGCTCCAATACTACCTCTTCATGGGTAAGCTGACCAACCTGTCTAGAGTATTTTTATGTTATGCAATATTATTCTTGCTTTGATTGTTTTCAACCAAATAAAAATGTAAAGACCAATTTCAGTTCATAGGCCTATAAAAACAGGTGCCCGCCTGGACTTTGGCTGACCCCTGATTTAGAATGAACTAGTTTAAAGGTTAACTGGCATAGGGAGAGTCTAATAAGAATAATTTTTGACTTTTTCCTTAAAGAATAAATTTCTGTTGGTAGAATTTGAAATAATTTGGTAAATGGAAAGAAAGTATCATTCTGAGTAATCAGACTTTTCTGAACTTCCACGACTGCATCAGCATTCCATTATCCACAGGTGAGGCTGTGAGTGCCGCCAGTAGCTGTCATTTCTGGTGAAAACTGCCCAGGTGAGGCTATTAACAAACTCTCATCCAATTTAGTCCTTCATTTCCTAGACTTTGGAATTTAGGATCACTTACTTCCAGGGATGATTTTGAAAGCAATATAGTTCAGGACGCCTTGAACTAAATCACTACTCTTTACTTATAATCCTGAAAGGTAAAATGGTTTAAATTCAAAGTAATAATTTCCCTCAGATTTGTGACTTTAATTTGGGTAAGGAATTACTTGGTGGACCATTTTATAGGCACTACATCATATCATTTTCTCTAAATGCAGAAATTTAGAAATTTGTTTGAGATTATTATAGTCAAATTAGTGCTGTTTTTATAGCTATTACCATTTATAGCATTTTCAATTACTTTAAGATAATAGAGCTTTCCAACTCTTTTTCATAACTCGTATCTCTCTCAAACAGCCGAAGCTACTGTTTAAACTTTCACGTTGGGAAGATGCTAGTCAGACTGCAGTGAGAAATCAGAGTGAAGCTCAATTTGAAGAAAAAGCAGTTAAGTATTTCATAGGTAGGAATATTTAGGGTATTCGGAACGGAATCGTCTACATACATCTGCTCTATTTTAGTGCATGTAGGATAAGTGCACTCTATTTTAGTGCATGTGTACTTCCCAGAAGTGCAGCTAAAAACTTAGTTGTTGGTTTTGTTTTCCCCCCATTGTTCTTAGAAAGAAGACTGCACATTGATAATCAGAGGCCAGATAATCTGAAGTTACTTTAAATTCTTTATCTATGTTTCCCTTCTTACCTGTGCGTGTATGTTAGGAAATGGAGGTTAATAATAGTTTTAATCTCAGTCAAACTGAATTAAGAAGCAAAAAAAAGCTACCTGGTCTCAGCCATTGTATTAGTTTAAGACTTTCTGCTTAGATGTTGATCATCCTCATCAGCAGCCCCTCTGGTGTAGAATGCTGAGAGGTAACTGGACACAGAAGCACACAGAAAGAACGTGGGAGCGAGAGGCAAGAAAGAGTCTCCATTACAATGTTCCTTGTGCATTAGTTCCTGTAACTGACTCTGCATGTAAATTATGATGTGGATTACTGGAATTGCCCAAAGGTAAGTAATTTAATTCCCAAGGTGGACTATTTGCTTATAGCATTTAATGACTCAGTTGTGTGACCTGCATGATAGTCAACAATGCAGTGCTGTAATTGAAAGACTCAGGGGGACAGGGCTTGGGAGGGAGGATTCTGTGGTTACATGGGTTTCCTCGTGAAGTTTTTCACCTAGAAGCCTAGGAGATATGTGCCCTTCCAGGAAACAAAGGAGATGTCAACCTCGGGAAGTCTCATTAGGCCAGCTATATTCAGTGGCAGTCAGATACACAGCCCTTTGTGTACCTGAAGATGAAAGCATACCCTCTTGTTTTCCACAAGTTCTGCATGACACAAGCCTGCTCATAAATTATGCCATAATCACTCTTGCAGTACAATTTGCATAGGAGTTCAGAGCATATTCCATGGATGTATGAGTAAACTCACAAGTGGAGTAATGTACTTTATTTTTTTTTTTAATGTAAATCCTTGAAAAATACATGGTGTGTTGGTTTCTGACTTGTTGGCTTTCTCAATACTCCTCGATTCCTCTTTCTCCATCTCTTTCTGGGGACAGTCAGTATTTGAAATCACACTGGTTGTCATTCGCATTGCCCCAAGCCACCATCATAGTCTTTATTTTATCTGCAAATAATTTTTAGTTGTTCTCCAGTCCAGAGGTCACTCACCTTTGTTACCCGTTGTAAGCAGTTTCACTGGAGAATTTGGCAGTCCCTGGAGAAAGATAATTCTATATCTCTTGCCCTTCATTTTGTCTGTAGTGATACTCTGTAGCACACACCTATGTACCACAATACATTGTGCTTTACAGAGAGAATCTTGAAATGATTCTTTATTTTAAAGGAAAACAAGAAAAATCTCATTGCTTTGTTTTGTGATTTGAAATTTAAATGGTAGTCTCAGACTTTTTGGTGTCAGTTTCATATGGCTACCTAGAAGTACTTATAGGGATTTTAAATAAAACTCTACCTTGCCTCTCAGGCTTTATTTTCCAGTATGAAATCTGTCCAAACAAACCGATAGACCCTCATTTCTTTTTTTTTTTGAGACAGAGTCTTACTCTGTTGCCAGGTGCCAGGCTGGAGTACAGTAGTGTGATCTCGGCTCACTGCAACCTCTACCTCCTGGGTTCAAGCAATTCTTCTACCTCAGCCTCCCGAGTAGCTGAGACTACAGGTGCACACCACCATGTCCAGCTAATTTTTTATTTTTAGTAGAGACAGGATTTCACCATGTTGGCCAGGATGGTCTTGATCTCTTGACCTTGTGATCTGCCCACCTCGGCCTCCCAAAGTGCTGGGATTACAGGCGTGAGCCACCATGCCTGGCCTAGGACCCTCATTTCTATATCTTTTTCTTCATCTTTTTTCTTTACTCCACTTGCTTTCTCCACCCCGACAAACCCATACACATACCCCACTTCGATATAAATACAACCCCAGCCTTTCCTGAAAATGTCAAAAACTGAAGTATAATGGTCAGTAATCTATTCATAACAAAACCACAAACTTAAACACCAACCAGAGAACACAACAGAAGAAAGCTACGGAAGAACAACTGGCTGCCCTCAGGTCTCTGTCAAGGCGATGGTAGTAAATGAGAAAACATATTAGAAATGTCGATCGCCCACTTAGAGTCTGTTTTTAAATCCTGTGATTGTTTCTGCTTCTGGTTCTATCAGAGATTTTTGCCAAACCCAGGATGAAAATCCGGCAACGAGGACCGTTACTGGGCCTCCCTGTAGGCCGGAACATGATACATCGCTTTAAATTGGCTTTTCTGCCTAAGTCAAAGTATTGTTTTTTTTTTCTTGACAACTTTTCAGACAAAATCTTTAAGCCTCACTGTTTTGTTTTTCTTCAATATGTGTGTTGTGTTTAGACGCTGCAGTAGGTTGTTTAAAAAAGCACATAAGCAGCTACTGAAATGAATTAACAGAAATTGACTGCAGGTATCTAATGATGGCTAAAGTGAACACAGGATGATCAAGGAACCAGTGCGAGCTGCTCCAATGCCACCCTGGAGTATTTCATGTATAGACTAACTTCTTTCACTGACTTTTAATACATGGCATACAATTTTATGTATAAATCACAGATGCAGTCGGTCTATTCAGAGCCAACCTATGCTATATTTTAAAGTTTTTTTTGATGTTGCTACATTGAGATTGTGATTTTTTTATCTCTATTTTGTTTTATTTTAAATCACTATATGAAATGCTGATATTTTGTGTGTGATGATTAATCAAAGCCTTTTTCCTTTCCATTATCTTAAAGTTTGGCAAAGAATACTATGTCAAATGTATTCAAATAATTTCAAATAAAATGATTTCTAGCTCTTTTAATTATTTAAAAATGATTGAAAAACTTTTAATATGCGATGAGTTGTCCTGGGAAAATGCTGAGAAGAAAATATATACATATTTGTATTTCGTTCTATTGGCTTCATTTAGGAAGTAGCAGGTAAAGTGTGAGTGTGGATTAAGCAGAGTTGACATTGAGAGGAGGAATACCATGCAGTGGTCTCTTTGGGTTAAGCTGAGTGGATTTTTCTTCCAGAAGAGAGGCTTTGTACTTTAGAATAGTAATGGTAGGGAGTCCTCATTGTGGGTTTTTCTTTTTGAAAATTTTATGTCCATCATGGTCTTTAAATCCCAGAGAAGTTACCAGAATTATTCAATACTCTTCAAGCTTCTAAGACTTGGAAAAGATAGAAGACACTTGTTATGTTTTTATGCCAGTGTTACGCTTTCTCATATGCTAATGATATATTCAGAGCATTTTGGGAAAATGCTGCATTATTGTGATAAAATAAAGTCACTACACCTTTCAACTGTACCTACAAGTGGCAGAAGAATTCTTGTTATTTAGACCTATAAGCTTCTAATTCATCTCTGAGATATGATGGATGAATCAATGTGGCTGATTAGCTCAGCTGAATCAAATAAAGTTTTAATGATTAGATATTCTGATAACAAATGATCCATTTAATGCTCATTTCCTAACAGCCTACAAGTATTTGTTCATCTCCAGTAAGGCTAATGAATTTTCCTTGGTTCATTCTTAAATTCTAAAGTACACTTCATTGTGACATGGTAGCAAATGAATGTATACAGCTTAAGGCTAGTTACAAACTGTATCCACCCAATGGGTTCACCTTACCAGCTGTTTAGATAGAGTCCATTTATCAGGACATGGGAATTGCAATGGCAAAAGAGTAATTCACGCAGAGCCGGGTATGCAGGAGACCGGAGTTTTATTATCAGTCAAATCACTCTCCCCAAGCATTTGGGGATCAGAGTTTTTAAAGATAATTTAGCAGGCAGGGGCTTGAGAAATGGAGTGTGCTGATTGGTCAGGTCGGAGATGGAATCATAGGGGGTCAAAGTTAGGTTTTCTTAATGTCTTCTGTTTGGGAGTACAATGACAGAACTGGTTGGGCCAGATTATTGGTCTGGGTGGTGTCAGCTGATTCATCCAGTGCAGGGTCTGTAAAATATCTCAAGCACTGAGCTTTGGTTTTGCAATAGTGATGTTATCCCCAGGAGCAATTTGGAGAGGCTCAGACTCTGGGAGCCAGAGGCTGCATGACTCCTAAATTGTAATTTATTTTTTCTTTCCTTTTTTTAAATTTTATTTTTGAGATGGAGTTTTGCTCTTGTCGACCAGGCTGGAGTGCAATGGTGCCATCTCAGCTCACTGCAACTTCCTCCTCCTGGATTCAAGCTGTTCTCCTGCCTCAGCCTCCCTAGTAGTTGGGATCGTAGGCACTCACCACCATGCCCAGGTAATTTGTGTATTTTTAGTAGAGAAGGAATTTCACCATGTTAGCCAGGCTGGTCTCAAAATCCTGACCTCAGGTGATCCGCCTGCCTCAGCCTCCCAAAGTGCTGGGATTACAAGCATGAGCCACTGTGCCTGGCCTAAATTTCTAATTTTGTAGCTAATTTGTTAGTCCTGCAAAGGCAGACTGCACCCCAGGCAAGAAGTGGGTCTTTTCGGGAAAGGGTGGTTATCCATTTTGTTTCAGAGTCAAACAGTGATCTGAATTCCTTCCCAGAGTTAGTTCCGTCTACACCCAGGATTGAACAAGGACAGCTTAAGGGTTAGAAGCAAGATAGAGTCCGTTAGTTTTGAGTTCTGTCACTGCCATAATTACCTCAGTTATAATTTTGCAAAGGTATTTTCAAAACCTCATTAACCTCAAAAGTTAAAATACATCTTTTTATAGTACAAATGCCATAGGCTTCCCCCAAAATAATTCGTATACTGGGGGAAGCCTATAGCATATGGCTTCTCCCTGCCTGATTTGTAAAACCCAGAATAAATTCAAACATGATATTGGCCGGGCACCGTGGCTTACACCTGTAATCCCAGCACTTTGGGAGGCCCAGGCAGTTGGATCATGAGGTCAAGAAATCAATACCATCCTGGCC